TTTTTTTTTTTTTTTTGCCAATCATGAAACAATTTTCTAAAAAATTTGAATTAATTTTAATTAATTATTGTATCCACGTGTACGTATTTATTATGAAGAGAATAATTTCCTGTTATAAGATAGCCGGGATCAGTTTTCTGATAAACGAGTCATTGCAATAGAATTGATATATCGAAGAAGTTTATGGTATAATATGTTAACATACAATGTGAAAAGATAATATAAAATGTAAATATAAATGTTTAAATTAAACCTGATACATATATTTGATTTGCCAATGTAAATAGATTTGATTAATTCACTATAGTTTGCATCGGATACATTTTTCCACGTAAAGAGTTAACACGATAATAAATAAACAACAATCAAATTGCGATAAAATTTATTCACTTCCCGATCCGAGACAATTTTAAAGAACATGATTTACATGTTTAAATGTTTTACAATTATTTTGCCATTATTACATAATAATATTACATAACTATTATATTAATGACAAAAATAAGTATCCCGTTGAGGTAATGAACTTTGGAAACGAGAATATTTCTCGACCGATAACTTTTCCATTTAAAATCTAATTACGAATCATCGATGATCGAATCTACTTTCTCTTCCTGGAATTCGTATTTTCTTAGATAAAATTCCAAAATTTTTTCTACAATTTTTGTTTGTTTCTACAATTTTTTTATCATCTTTTGCAAAACAAAATTGAATAATGCGATAAGCTAAAGAAATCTGAAGAAAAAATAAATAACGATTTTTATTTACCAACGAACCCGATTGAAAGATCGTGTTAATAAATTAAAATTTTACGTCGCCAATATACGAAATCCACACACGTACACGCTCCTCGTCACAAGGACACAAGTGGTGCAAAATGTGGACAGCTGTCGACGGGGGCCAAGAAACTATTAACGATGTCTTCGTTTAGAATTATTGTTTAGTCAGTTGCATGCATACGTATATATAAAGCAAAGTGTCGAATTAACTGTCGATACGAGCGAGCATCGATATTAATCGAGGAGGAGAATTTTTTATATCGGCAAAACGCTAGTCAAAACGTTAACGAACTGGACAAAATCTACCTTAGGCGTGTCTAAAAAAAGATTCGACGCAATGATTCTGGAGCAAACTACGAATACATTCAAGGATCTTCTTCTCCATCCGAATCGACCTTGCACACGAAATAACAACTGATCGTTTATGTAACCAAGAAATTTTATATACTCGCTTTCTTGTCTTCTCTATTCGCTTATTTACGTGTATAGGATGTAAAATACGAGAAAAACGCGACAACCGTGTATTTCTCTCGTTTACATTTACGCCTGTGAACGAGATAAATAAAAATTTAATAGACGAGGTCGAAGTGAGTCTCGAAGAGAGATCCATCCGGCTCGGTTTGTTTTCTTTCGCGATATAACGAACGTTTCAAGGTTATCGTTGTTTCTCTTCCGAATTGTGTACAGCTGTAGCAGTAGTAGTCGCGTTTTCACGATTATTTGCAATTCGTATCCAAATGGTAAGATACTTATTCTTATGCACGCGTGACCAGATTTCGAATGTCTCTAATTTTCCTTTTCCTCATTTCCAAGATTTCATTGCTTCTGCGAACAAGGAAAGAAGAGAAGAGAGAGAAACTCTCTATTGCGACGAAACAGAATTATACTACTGTTTTCACACTTCTACTCCTTTGCAAAACAGACCAGAAGTTCCAAGAATCACCGAAATACGAATGAACGAAATTTCTTTTTCTTGTCTAGATCTTAGATCTCGTATATACAGAATCTTTAAATTTTTTCCGAAACTGTTTAATATTGCCTTACAATCTATAAATATTTTCAATTTCTTTATGATTTGTTAAGAAAAATAATCCCTAGAGAATTTTTCTAGGAATTTTCCCTAGAAAACATAGGGTTTTTTAACTTTAATATATATGGTATATGGTATATATAAAACTTTAAGAAGTTGAAATTGAGGATAACAGATATTTATCCATTAATTCAGATACTTGAACCGTACACCATCATCGGTCGTTGGATATAAAATACGCAAACATCGCGAACGTTACCATGACTCATTCCTTCTATCTGTACAAACAAATCAGAGCACCAGTCCCGGGATTTAACGCATCCGACCTACTAATGGCAATTTCAACGCTAAACGATTATCTTTCTTTCCGTTTCCGTATATAATTACGCGCATCATTGTTGCACATTAATAATATCCCCCATCCGAGACGCGATATCGACGAAGACTCGTGTTGGATTCGTGCTGCTCGGCGAGCGAGCCATGACTCGTCTATCGCCTATCGCTCTTCCTAATTAATTTCCCATTGCCTTCATGGGAATCCTATTAACGTGAACGAAGGCACGAAAGCCTATTATTTAATTATATTTATGTGAATGTATGACACGTTCGACATTGACGTTGCAAAATGTCAACTTTTTTCGCACGTAAACCGCATATATATATATACGATAAACGAAAAACATATGAATTAGATTACAGACGATTCTCAATCGATGATTTAAATTTTGATGATTGTTATTTTTTTATCGATATTTTTCTTTGAGTTTAATGAAGTTTCTTTATATCTGGATGCGTTGAAGAAATTTTATCGAATATATATTGAATATGGAAAAAGAATTTGAAAATATTATTTTTTGATATATAGAGAGAAGATGATAGGTTTATGAATTCGTACAAGGTTAAAACTGTGGAGAATTATTCTATTGCTATCCATTTTTTGCAGTTTGCTTTCTTTTGCCAAAGAAAGCAACCGATACCCTACGTATCGAAACTAAGACATTTTATTATGCCAAGCAAAATAATAGATCGGCTTCTCGAACTGTCTTTGTATATTTAATCAACTTGTATACATATTTAATCAATAAATAATGATAATCTTCGCAGGTCTACATACGATACCACTTCTATATTAATCTTTAATTGAACAGCTGAATCGCGCGTTCTATTGAAGATTCCTATCTTCATGTATACTTTTCTAAGAAAAATTTTCTTCTCTTTAACTTACGTTTAAAATTTCTTATCTTCTTCTTTTCTTTTCTTTTTTTTTCATTATATTTATTGATAAATAGCAAACATTTCCATGATATATTTCTCCTTAATCTTCTTTTGCAAATTTGATTTCTAACAATAATTTCTCTTTATATTTTCATTTTCACCTATTTCAATAAAATCATAATAGATACAGGTTATAATAGATACTTGAACGTTAATCTTCGAACGATCAGCCCATTAATGATCCGAATATCGATCGACCTAATGTCTTAACCTTAAAATATTATTAATTACAACAATTCTCAATCATATATATAATTAAATCAAGAATTTATATATACGCATAGAACGATATGAATCAAAATAGAATATTAGTTACTTTTATCCAAGCAAAAATTGCAAACGTAGCAACTTTTACCTTGACCAATATAGATAACGATCCACTGTTTTGTATCGAAGGCCCTTCTATCCGTGGAAGATAGGTAAAGTAGGTAAAGAGTAATTTGCTAATGGATGCAATTTCCTAGCTTCAAGGAACACAAGGCGCACGATTCTCTTTTGCTTCGTTTCGATGCAATTTCGCGAAATTGTGCTCGATTTTTATCACAGAATGCTCCAATGCTCGTCCAATTTAATATCGATGCTATCTCTCTCTCCCCCTCTCTGCGCGCACAGGGTGGACCGCGCAAATGGGACCGGATATCCCAGGATATTTCTACGTCACGTGTAATTTCTTTTTCGTTATTCGTCCCTTTATCTATTTCGTGTCCTCCTCTTTCAACTGCAATCAAGAACAAAGATGACGGTGATTTCTTCTTCGAGGACGTTTCGAAGGAAACGTGAATTTTCGTGTATTTGGTGAATGCGATCGAAATTGGGATGAAATAAATATCGTGGAGATTTTTCAAAACGATTGAAAAAAAATTGTAAAATGGACGGTGGATTAGTTTGACTCAAATCACTGTGATCGTTATATTCATATTTTTACAATTTATATGCGAAATTAAATTTAATTAACAAAAAGTAAAATTTATATATCTTTAATATTTTTATACAAATTCATTGAAATAGTAATCGATAAATAATAAAATTGCTAATATTATTAAATAATCTTATATATACTTTATATGGGAAATGAAGGAAATATTGCATGTTATTTTTGTTTTAAAATCATAAAAATGATATTTTTAAAAATATCATTTTATATATAAAAAAAAAATCTGAAAATTTTCACAGATCTGCATATTTCTAATCCATTTGTTTAGGAACATGCTGTTCAAAAAATTTATGAGTTCCGTGAAATAATAGAAATCATCAAAAGTGATTTTGCATACAATGCAATTTTTAATTAATAAAAATCACATTGTAAACAAAAGATAAACGTATCAATAAGAAATATCAGTAAGTAATAGTAATAATTGCAAAATGTTTCATTTCTAACCTTGGAAATCATGATTATGCACATAAATGAATTAATCTTGATATACGATTTCACATGATATGATAAAACATATGAAATATTGCATTAAATTTAAATGAATAAAAAAACTGAAAATCATCTTCGTTTCTCTCTAAATACCGATATACTAGATATAAAATTTGTGTATATATTACGTAGCTTTTTTTTCCCCGCTAACATTTTCTTTTCCACAGATCTTCTGGTTTAAAAAACGTTGGCTTAACCGAATTGAAATAGCCGTTAACTTGAAAAAAATAATTAAGTTAAAAATGTTGTCAAAATAAACTTACTTTAAATTTTATATAAATTATTCATTAAAATGCTTGAAAAACAATTATTCGTTATAACTTATATAATTATAATTGATTCTTCGTATAACCTCGGCCGTTTGCCACTACAGTTCGTTATTTCGAATAATGAAGTTATTCGAATAATGCTTTCGAATCATAGAATAGGTACAAACTATTACGAAGATAAAAGAAAGCGCGTTAAAAAGTTTCTACGATATAAATAGAGTAGAAAATTATTGAAGCAATATTAATTTATTCTCAACTTCAACTATTAAAATTTTCGCCCATCTTTGTTTTATATATATATATATATACTATCACGGTAGAAGAATTTGCGCTACACAAGTTGTCACGGGTGAGCCAAATAATTGAGTTAGCGTTCGATTATAATTATTGGCAAACGTACAATTCAATAAATCGTATCCCTTGATATTGGGAAATACATTGTGTCTGTGGTGGTTTGCGGTCCGCATAGTCGACAAGGTGCCACGAATCAGGCTGATCAATTAAGGTCTATGAGACGATAGGTACAATTTAACGCCAATTACGATACGCGATTTTGCGTATTCGTAAATTTTTGTTTAACTCTAACCTATTGAGAACATTGTATAATTACATATATAATTATATACATGTATTATATATATTGTATAATTTATATTATTAATTTTTTAATGAAGTTTACAAATTAAAGATATAAATAATTACTTTTTAGAAAATTCTGAACTATAATAAATTACATTCACCAGCTTTTACGTTTTTTTTTATATATAAAATAATAAAATGTAAAATCACGAATTATATGGAAAAATTTAAGTTTTTAAGGTTTAGTAGATTCGAATCTTTAAATCGAGAATATATCGGTACAAATTATAGCATTTTGAATTCGATGTTACAGATTACAATGGTTTAAGCGCTATTCAATAAAATGAGCGATTAAATGGAACGTGAATTGCTGATTATTCCAATTACGACTCCTCTTAGATCGTATCTATACGTTTAACAACTTATTTTAAGAATTTCTATTTCGTTCGTTTCGATTAAATTTTATCGCAAAAAGTTTATTTAAATTTCGATATTTTAATTTTATTCAACGATATTTTAATTTTATTCAACGATAATGATTCATTTTTAAAAAAAGAAAATAATTGTAAAAAATATTTAGAAATGTCAAATACTAACTAAAGAAATTTAATTGAAACTTTGAATTAATGACACATCAATTTAATTTCCTTTTTAAATTCTCTAAATTTAAAAATAAAAAAAAACACTGTTTAAATTTTGTTATCTTTCACTTCATAATCACGAGTAAAAAGTTGATTCTATTCAAAATTCTCTAGAAATAAAATTCCCTAAAAATCAAAAATCCCTTACACATCATTCGAAATTTCGTTATCCTCAATCGATAAAAATTTTTAATAAAACGAATATTATATCACAATATAAAAATACGACGTGATTTCACAAAACAGAAATATTACCACCAGCAAAGTTCTTTATTATTCATCGATAAAACGACTTTACACGAAGCTAGTGGCCTTTCCTTCCACGACGTCGATTCTCGCGTGTTTACTTTCACGGACATTTTGTCGCGTTTCCAGTCGCTCGATGAAATTTATTCAGTTATTATTATTCAGAAATTTATCGCAAACGAAAGGATCGAGGATCGAATCGACCGATCGTCCAATGCATTTCGAAAAGATTTTCCCGCGCGTTAATTCCCGATTAATTCGTGTCGAAGTTGATTGAACCACCGAAACGAGCGTTACCAGGCGACACA